ATTAACACCAAGATTATCACCAGACATACAATCAGCAGTAAACAATACCCCAATCAAGGAACTACCAGAGGAAAAAACAAAACAAAACCCACACCCACACCAACACTGACAGGGCATGCCAACGTATATAAACAGACAGCAAACCCCATTCCATTTTAGCGCTGAAGATGTTACCTAGCTGGGTAATGAAACGTTTGCAAGAAAACAGCCAAGCTCAGAGAACTGAAAGGACTCCACAGTTCAACCCTGAGCTACACATATTCTCTTCTATTTATACCACCTTTCCCTGGGCTTTCTTCTTCTGATGGCTTTTGACATCCAACCAGTATTTTCACATATAACAGCTGTGTTAATCTAGCACTTTCATAATTTAGGATTTTTAAAAGACAAAAGAAAGGGGTACATACTATTGCCATATGATTGCTTTATCTGAGAGGCAAGCTACATACACTTAAAAAAAAAACTGCAGATGGAATCTTTCTAGATTTAACCACTTTGTATTGTAGTTGTACGCTTTCACTTTGGAAAATTATCACAGTTAAAAAGTTACATATTTTGAGAAAATGTTCTAATTTAGCTTTCTTCCTGCTGTGGCCATTTTCTATGCACATAGACTTTGGGCAGAGTGACAGGAGATGGATTATTCACAATACAATTTTCTCCTAGAATTGTGAAATGACATAGTCCAGGAAGGATTCTACTGTATAATTTACTGCAGATATAATAAACTTTGTGGTAAATAATTATCAACAGAACTCTCAGAACTTCTATAGCTTTATAGCCTAATCTCATAAAATTTTACTGTTATTTAAGGTGGAGCTTGTCCAGTTAGTCATTGATGGTGTGAATTATATGATTGATTGTGAGAAGAAGTTGGAGAGAGGTCAAGACATCAAGATACCACCACCACTGCCCCAATTTGGCAAGAAATGAAGCTGCTTCCAGTGATTATCATCTGACTGGAAACATGTCTATTGGGGTGACTATGAATTCTGTATTCCTCTGTAATATAAAACAGAAATGTGGATAACATTTTTCCTCAGATAGGTACCTGTTAATTGGGGTATTGGGCAGGGGTTGCTGAGAAGAATAGAAGATAAGAACATAACATATGGAAATGTGCCAGAATACAAATGGTTGCAGACATCACTGCTGAAGAGTAGGGTCACCTTTGAAGATTAGCAGTCTTGGAGTACTTGCCTGTGAAGTTTAATTCTTTTAAAAGCACACATAAAGGATTTCCCTTTCCTTTCCTTTCCTTTCCTTTCCTTTCCTTTCCTTTCCTTTCCTTTCCTTTCCTTTTCTTTTCTTTTCTTCTTTTTCTTCTTCTTTTTTTTCCCTTCCTTT